CGGCTAAAATCCTTTCCTTGCAACATCATTCGGTCAAAGACGTCAAAATAGGCCAAAGACACTGCTTGCTCCAGATCTAGTCCTTGGTTAGTAAAATCATCAGACATCGATGGTGCAAATTCGTCCCATAGCTCTTGAGCGTGAACTACGTCACAGAAGCACAGAAGGCATGCAAAAAAGCTTCTAATCGCTGCAGCCGCGACTGGAGTGCACAGCTTCCTGACAGGCTATACGAAGTGATATGAATCGTCATCCAGTAATCCAGCATCTTTTCGGTGCATCAGCAAAATTGTCATGTATCGTTCCATCTACGGTACGAATGTCTTCGAATGATATTTTTCCTTTTGTATTTAGCAGAAGAATTCGCAGACTGTACCTCTCCGTGTCCCTCGGTGGAACTGTATACATCCTTCCAATTTGTTTACTACCTCTTTCTTTAGGTGTCCATCCTCGATCACGGCGAAATGTGAAGTACTCAGGGATCTGGTAATAGTAGAGGTTTCTAGCGTCCACAGGGATTTCTGGGCGTGAAGTACCGTCGAAGATTTGGGCACACCGGGCGTTCAGTTGGAAATAAGCTGTCAACGTGGTATGCAATCTTTCTTCTCGACTCAGAGTTTCGCGTTCCCTACTTTCGGCGAAGTAGACGGTGTGAAAGTCAGGCAAGTGCACCGCCAGTCTGCATACAGTGTGAGATCTATCCTGGAGAGGCAAGCCAAAGATCCTGTACAGACTTTGTGGGGCACAAACATATCTTGTGTTCAAGTGTCGTTTTATCTCATCTTCTTCGCCTGCACCTTCGATGTTAATATTTGCGCGGTCTGGTCCCTTGTATATATACTTGTAGAGGTACTTTACAGCAGAGATCATCCCGCATATCTCCATATTGATGTGGCAGTCGTACTTCAGAATTAAGTATGGATTCGTCGGCACGGTACCTCGACGACGTCGTTGAGCTCGTACCGTGAACCATGTTTCCGTGGGAAAATCTTCTGATGTCGTGTGTAGAAGGCTGTCATGTAACCTTTTGATAGACTTGAATGTGCTCTTTAATATGCAATTGGGCTCATTTGATTTGGTTTCGCAGTTCGAGATTAATTGCGTTTTGAATGTGGAGAGAAGTGACTCTTTTTTTTTGCCCCCCCCCTGCAATGCGCTCCGGCACGCTTTCTCGTGTCTCGTCTTCGTCCGCTGACGCCTTGCATTGTTCTGTTGCCGTCTGACTCCGCTCCTGACTGCTTTCGCGTTCACGTCTTATCCGCTGACGTCCTGCGTTGCCCTGTTGCCGTCTGATCCGCTCCTGACTGCTTTCTCCTGAACGTCTTTGGCGCTGAAGTTCTGCATTGTTGTGTTGTCGTGCGACCCGCTCCTGACTGCTTTCTCCTGCCCGTCTTATCCGCTGACGTCCTGCGTTGCCCTGTTGCCGTCTGATCCGCTCCTGACTGCTTTCTCCTGCCCGTCTTTGGCGCTGACGTTCTGCATTGTTGTGTTGTCGTGCGACCCGCTCCTGACTGCTTTCTCCTGCCCGTCTTATCCGCTGACGTCCTGCGTTGCCCTGTTGCCGTCTGATCCGCTCCTGACTGCTTTCTCCTGCCGTCTTTGGCGCTGACGTTCTGCATTGTTGTGTTGTCGTGCGACCCGCTCCTGACTCGCTTTCTCCTTCTCGTCTTATCCGCTGACGTCCTGCGTTGCCCTGTTGCCGTCTGATCCGCTCCTGACTGCTTTCTCCTGAACGTCTTTGGCGCTGAAGTTCTGCATTGTTGTGTTGTCGTGCGACCCGCTCCTGACTCGCTTTCTCCTTCTCGTCTTATCCGCTGACGTCCTGCGTTGCCCTGTTGACGCCTGATCCGCTCCTGACTGCTTTCTCCTGCCCGTCTTTGGCGTTGACGTTCTGCATGGATCTGTTGCCGTGCAGCCCGCTCCTGCCTGCTTTCCTCTTCCCGCCTTCTCTGCTGTTGCGCTGCATTTGTACGCAAGCGAGAAGCTCTTTCTTGAGACGTTTCTCTCTGGCGTCTATTTCGTTGACGTTCATTGCTGCTCCCATGAATTCTTGGTCGGCCTCGCTGCCTGTGCAGTTCTACTTCTCGTGCAATTATTCTAAATCAACACTTCACTAACTACTGACACCAACCGAAAAACTTTGTTTCACTCTAGGTAGGCGGTTAGAGCGAGCGTAAATTTGTGAGATGACGCTTGTAGAATATGAGACGATCAACCCTTGGTAGGCAAAAGTGTTAGAGAGCAAAACCACGGGTTATTTAAGCTTATCGGTTTCCGATATGTGGAGATATCCTAATCAAAATTGTTCATCAAAGAAAGGAGTAAAAGCGATGAAGAAAAGAATACAGCGAAAATATCAGTCGGAGCAATGTTGTGACTGTCTATTGCCCAATTAGACGTCAAGAGGCCTCAGAAAACCTAACGTAAACTAAGCAGACGCGGCTAATCGTCTAGTCGCGATCGATTATGTTTTTTCTTCCAAATCCTCGCCTAATAGCATATATATGATCGCGAACTAAGTACGCTGCCCTAGTCTCAATGACAAAATTTATGAGTTCAGCAAAGGCAGACATAGATAGAAGATCACATCACATCGATGGATTCCACCAACGATAAGAACTGGTCTAAGCGCTCATGGCCTGGGGGGGGGGGGGTAAGAGGGCATCTAAGTGAGTGAGGAAGGGAGCATGTGAGCAATTCGCGTTCTCCCAATGGTGTTTCGCCCCTCTGCTGGGCTTTATCACAGTCTCACTCTCTATCTGGCCTGTTTTGAATGTCCCTTACCCTAAGGACGTGAGCGCCCTGACCTACATATATTTGGTTGGAAGATTGCAAGAGTCCGTTGCAAATCTTCCTGCATCCCTTCAGGACAACCTCACCAATGGGAAGGGGGGGGTCACGTTTGGCAACCGAAAATATAGGGCTCACTTACTAACCACCACGTGCAGATACAAAATTTAGAAAAACTTAGTTGTGTTGGAAAGTAAATGAATTGAATGAGCATAATCGCCTGCAGCTTCTACGCCCTCCATCGGTGAGTGCTCCCTGCTGCGATTCCACAGTCGACCATGCGCTTCCATTTTTTTCCGGTTACGATATTAAAGTCAGCCTATTCTGAAACACCTTTATCAGACCTTAACTATATCAAATATACTCGATATCGGTGAGTTGGGGTGGGCGTGTCACCGGAAGTGACGTGCACTTGATAGAAACTATGTGGATAAGCTGCTTCCAACATACATCGCTGGCTATCAGCAAAGCATGCTGGCAACAGCTTATCCACGCACTTCTATCAAGTGCACGTCACTTCCGGTGACACACCCACCCCAACTTTCGGATATCGACTGTACGTAAGATCAGTGCATAGCAATTGATTGATAGTTTGTCGAGGTTTCGTGCTCCTTTAAAGCAACAGTTCAGGGAGGGTCCGAAAATTTCAATGCCACTACTACTGAGGGATACACGAGCCCTAGTGAAGAACATATGCAGTGGAAATAATAAACGAACTTACCTCAGAAACTCAAAAACAGGGTGGAAAGTCCCTCAAACATGGGTGTTCTTGGGGATTTCCCCAATCCCGCCCCCTTGCCGGCCGTCATTGGACGCGTCGGCAATCGTGCTCGTTTTGGGACCACAGGGAAAATTGATTGAAAAATGGAGCGCGTTTACAGCGGGCACGTTCAGACAACTCGTCCAACGTGCGTCTTTATCCATTGCTGAGCGGCAGAGGGAGAGTACCTGTCTAAGACCCTCCCCGACGTTTTTTTCCAGTTTTTCATACATTAATCGTCTGGTTTTCATCTACAACTTCATTATTGGTGGTTTTTTCCCGCGAAACCGTTCCTGAACTGTTGCTTTAAAGGCAGAAGGACGTTTTCACTAAGGCTGCTTTTAATACGAAACTGAAAATTTTCGGATAGAACTGTCCATAGCTGGCGGCAAGTCAATGGACCCAATAATAATAAAATTTTCAGAATAGGAGGCAACCCTACCTTTGATAGGTAACAGTGAGAAATGATTGTACCGAGAGTGATTTTGAAAAGGAAGCAGATAAGGTGATTGCTATCTTTTATCTCGAAATCCTTGAAATGATTGCGTTTACGCAACTACATCAATAAAACTGTAGTCAAAATCGTATTGCGAAAGCTTCTGTAAGGTGATTTTCTGAAGCGGATAGGAAAAAGGGCATAAAAAGAGGGAGTGTTCAGGTGCTCTGCTAGGTCACCTAGGCACAGCACCTGAAAGCAATTCGATTTTCGCTACATCGCTGGCCTTGAGCGTACTTCATACAATTCCAGTGGAGGTGTTTCTGGGAAAGCTGACTGGATGCAAGTTAAACTGGGATGCATTTGCTGAATTGACTCGTATCTGAAGTGTATGTACCTTAGGGTGTTTGCGGTCTATGCGTCGACGATGTTTTCATAGCCAGTCGATACATCACCTAAAGAATCCATAGGCGACGAACTACTTGTAATTCTCCTACATACCCTACAAAGTTGAAAGTTTGCAATTACTACTTCTATGTGACCAATGATAATGGAATGATAGGAGGATCATTATCCCTCTGTAATCACATGATCATTTCGAGTATACTTTCACTCTCGTTTACTTCGTCGTGCAATGCTGTTGGTGATTACCGGGCAGAGCACCATACTCGATACATTGTATATGGGTGCTGCTTTCTTCTCTACTTCGCTGTCTTTCTTTACTCACTATTGGTAAGTTCTTTCAATAATGAACGGCAGAGAGATGCAGAAAGGGGATGTAAAGTCCACTTGGTGTGCCAGAAATTCAAAGAGATTTTGCACCTGTATTGCGTTTTTTTTTCATGTCCGAAGACAGCCCCATACCCTGTCGCAGCTCCACCCCTTTCTGAAAATTTCCTCAGCTGGGATGTATGAAACATATGTGAAGCAAGTGCAGCATGACACGATGGCGCTATTGCATGCAGAGCAAGCCGCCGATGGAGACTTAAAGCAACAGTCCCAGCAGGGTGGGCGTGGTCGGAAACGGCTGCAATCCCCTCGGCCGATTCCCACTTCGGAGCTGTTCAGCCCCTAGTCAAGAACGTAGAAGTGTGACTGAACAAAAACTCACCTTGGAAAGCCGCTAGGGAGGGAGCTGAAGTGGGCGTGGTCGGAATCGGCCGAGGGGATTGCAGTCGTTTCCGACCACGCCCACCCTGCTGGGACTGTTGCTTCGAAAAAACTCCATCCTTTCGCCCTGAAATAAGGGAGGGCGTGTCTGGACGAGTTGCCTGACATCGTTGCTCTATGCTTTCACTCTCGTGCGTTCCCGATTTAGCCGCTACGCGTAATCCACATTGCGTGGAATTTGCGCGAGGTATTTCGTTCACTAGGTCACATTTTCCATCATTAGCATAATTTTTAAGGCCCTAGCGCATCCAATCGGGCCATATCGGCAACCTTCCCCATTCTGAAACTAATAAAAGCTGATGAACCCTTCAAGTGAAATCGAACAGATTTCAGATCTTTTTCTGCTTAAGAGAAAGCGTCAAAGAGCAGGTGTGCCCAGAAGCCAATTGTGAGTCATACCGGATAGGATTCCAATATTTAAATTTTATTCGAGTCTAAAACTCATTCTACTAAGGGGAATGACCTCACGATTCAGTCCTTCTGAAATGCAGTAGAAGCAACTTTGCGATCCACAACCCTATTTTAGATTAAGGCTAGTATCTGGTGAATTTTAGAATCGTATTCAGAGCATGGGGGGAGTGAGCTCTGACGACATCGCCGGGATAATGATAAAAAGGACCATTGAAAAGATTCATGAGAGTTTTCAACCATTTCCCCCGGAACTTCGAGAATTTTATGGTATTTTTGCTATTTTATTGTTCTCCTGTAAGAAGACCCTGCCACTCTTTATGACGCTTCCTTTCGGTGAAGCCTCCGAGTACTACTAGGTGATCGTCCATGACCACACGTACTGCACTAGCGAGCAGGGTCAACCGTCACGTTGGACCGATTTCGAAAATTTTACGACCCCCTCCCCCTTCTAGAGGGCCTCGATACGACCCCCCTCAGGGTCAACCCTTCACCACCCTCGCCTGCCATCGCCATCATGGGGCTCATTCTATAGTATTCGATTCTGAGACCAGTCGACACAGCCCAAACTCCGCCCACTTTTTTCCTCCAAAATTGCCGTCGAGGGGGGAGGCATCCTCTCATTTTCCTCTATTTCAGCCATATTTCCACTGCATTTTCCTCACCGTTTCGTCCAACGGAAGGTTGACCCTGACTCGAGGAGGAAGGGGACGAGTCGTATAGCCAAACTTTAATGGAATCTCATTGTCAAAATACACCTCTGCTAACCATGATACCCGGTTTTCAGAACCGCTGTGACAAATTCTGGAAAGTTTGCATGCCACTTTCACTACAAGATGTTTGCTTCAGGAACCGCAGAATCCTGAAGAAGACCGTAAGAAAAAAGAAATTGAATCAAATGAGAAAAAGAAGGGTGAAAATATTTCCGGAGAAAATCCAAAAATGGCGGTGAAAACCCCTACAAAGGTACAATTATATGAGGGATTTTTGGAAAATGTCTTTGACCAAAGAGACATGCAGCAGCTCTACGTACATCCAGAACATGTATTAATCCAGGCGCTCATGTCGTTGGGGGGGGGGAGGAGGAGGAATTCCAGCGAATTCAGCCACTCAACAGTGGCTTAACATCGTCGACCAAGATCGTGGCCACGTGACCAAATCTCAGGGAGGGGAAGGGATTCTGGAGGCAATTCTTGTTCGCAGGACCTGGTGTCCTTCCATTATTACCAGCGGTTTTTGAAAAAAAGCACCACTTGAAGGAGGATATGCTTTAGTATTTGGCGTCTGACTGCAAGATTGTGAAGCACTCACATCTGAAAGAGGGCAAGGGGGCTTGATGTGCTATGTCTTTGAAAAAAGCCGCATATTCTCTATTTCGGAAGACGAGAAGAGCGTCGAGTGCAGACCACACACCACAAGTGACGACGGCCAAGAAAAAAATGGCTTTTCTTTCTTTTTTTGGCCGTCG